TGGCGCGGTCTCGTCTTTGATAACTGTAACATTGAACTTCTTTGGCTTCTTGTTTCCAGAATAAGTCCAATATTTAATCGCATCCAAGAATTTAGCCAAATGAGAGCTCCATTCCTTAATAATATCTCTCAAATCAGACAATGATATGTAATTTATCATGCTGTCATATACTATTATCTTCAGGGATGAGAGCTGAAGCTCGATGAAAAGCCAATGAGTACGTTCCAAAACAGGGATAAACACCTGCAATCATAAGTAATAATTCAAATTACGCACTTATTTATGAACACCTTTAAAATATTTAAAAAAAATAAATACTAACCTTATCGACCTCCCACCATGCAGGATAAAGTTTATCTTGTCCATTAGCCAACACATATGATTCCTGTCGTTGATTCTTCAAGTGAACTACGTGAAAATACGTCGGCATAATTGTATATCGCGTATTTTTTTTTTATTTTTCATCAATTTCCTTACTATTAGAAGACGCGACAACCATGCATCAATATGCTATTTTACAAAAAAGACATATATTAGTGAATTACATAAATTTTAAAAAAAATTAATCAAAATGAAATATAAGAAGAAATATAAGACTTACCCCCATCGAAATAGCATTTGTCTTCAACCCCTAATAACACACCCCACCAAGACCGATCAATCAACAAATGCATATCATCATTGAGTTTGTATATGTCAGCGTAACACCCTTGGCTCCGCTCATGTAGATAAAAATCAACTGCGGTCTTAGCCCAAAGGGTATTATCCAGAATTGTTTCTGGTATTTGTTTCCTCTCCACTTCATCTGCCGGAATGGTACTGGCCGGTAACTCATACGAAATCCAACAGTCATCCATTATGTCCGGCATGTGAGGGGGTTTCTCAATAATTCGACATATTACGCCGTATGAATCGAGCACTTGAATAGTGGGAGGGAACTCTTCAATGATGACAGGGGCCTCTTGAACGATGGGAGGGGACTCTTGAGGGATGATATGGGACTCTTGAACGATAGGAGAGGCCTCTTGAACAATGACATGTGAGTCGGGTTTCTTCTTACGGAGTCTTCGCACTATTGGGGTAAACGAAGACGTAATGGCACGTGCACGCTGTCTGATGCATGAACCCCGTCGTGCAAGAAAAACCTGACGTAAAACATCCACCTTATCGGGCCGCTAAAAATAATTATTAATACATAAATCAGTAAATAAACAGACATGATATTAAACAGTGAAAACAAAGGCAAATATGTTTCAAACTTGCACGGTATTCACCCAAGTCATTATTCTATCATAGTTCACAAAATGCATCAGATAACATTCCAGAAGTAAGCACTTATAAACATTTAAAAGGACAACATATAGGTTTAGTGCATGTTCAAAGACAACATAAAGAGTAGTAGTTTATTCTTGAAACTTAAATTTGCAATACTGTGAAGTTAGTATTTGTCTTTGTCTTTTGGTTGAAGTAATCCAATCCATTTAAGTTTCAATTTGCAGAAGAAGAATAGTTTATGAAACTTAAAATCGCAACACGAAACTTAAATTGCAACGCAAAAATGACTATCGCAACGTGAATTTGACTATCGCAACGGGATAATCGCAATGCGAAATAAAAATCGCAACGAGAAAATCGCAAAGCGAAACCAAAATCGCAACGCGAAACTAAATTTGCGTTGCGATAGTCATTTTCGCATTGCGATTTTTATTTCGCATTGCGATTATCCTGTTGCGATAGTCAAATTCGCGTTGCGATAGTCATTTCTGCTTTGCGATAGTCATTTTCGCGTTGTGATTTAAGTTTCGTGTTGCGACTATTCTTCTTCTGCAAATTGAAACTAGAATGGATTGTATTACTTCAACCAAAAGACAAAACAAAGACAAATACTAACTTCACAGGGTTATTTTAGAACTGTTTAGCAGTATTGGCAGCAACCTCACCACGTAAAGTAGATACCTCGTCACGCCATCCACCATTGTGTAGAGTAAATTGAAACTAGAATGGATTGTATTACTTCTAAGTGAAATGGTTAATCTAAGTGAAATTATGAGTAAATCAAGTTAATTATGAAAAATCTTAAACTTACCTCGTTGTGTAGAGTATGAACCTCATTCTGCAACGATGCTACCATCTCACGTAGAGCCGCTACCTCACCACGTAAAGTAGATACCTCGTCACGCCATCCACCATTGTCATCGCGTAAAGTACTGATCTCCTCACGCAAGGCATTGACCTCATCACGTAACTCCCCTAACTCATCCCGTGGAGGTGGAGGTGGAGAACAAGGAGATAAATGTCGTGGCATCTTTGCCGGTCGCCTATCATGAGGTGATGGTGGAGAAGAGGCTCGATGATATGACGGAATAGGTGATGGCTCTCGTTGTAGAGGTATATAGTGTGGTCGATCAGGTGATGGCTCTGGGTGAGGTGATGGCTCTCGAAGTAGAGGCTACTCATCATCCATGCCATCAAAAAAACGCTTACTAGCTTGCCACCAATCAGTGGCAAGCTCAGCCTCCGTGGGTGTCAGCCTCTGTAATGGAGTGTTGGCCTCCTAACAATATAAAAGCTCAAACAAAGTTAAACGTGTACTAGTATTAACTTGTTTATATATATGGTAGTATTTGTGTTAACTTACATCATTTATTGTCGTATACCGTAGTAACTCTTCCCAAATCAACAGCCGCCGTTTCCTCTTCCAGAAAATAGCTCTAGAAATATCATTTAAAGTTTTTAATGCATATGTCTGCATGTCGGGAAAAGCCTCAAATATCCAAATCTACAAAAATAATATAATACACAAACATTAGTAATTGTTAAATAATTAATTATAATTTTGGAAACATTATATAGAAATTCTTACCTTAAAGGCCCAAATAAAGCCTGACAAAGTGTATTTGGAACCATCGCCACGCAAACTTTTGCGGTCATCAAAGGCAGACGACAACTTATTCCAGGTAGCTTTCCATAGATACGAACCCCACGGAAACAGGTTCCATGCATTTAGGTCCTCTACCAATAATATTAGGTCCTTAGAAATAGGTTGTCTAGCCTCTCTGCCTAAAAAACCGACATGCAAAAGTACTAAAAGACATACTCGGACAACATCGACGTCATCCATCAGAGTAAAACCATCTTTCTTATTCAATAATCTCGTCAAGTCATCGACGTGTAAATTCATCTTCTCCATTGACAGCTCAGGAAAAACTCGGGATAACCATGATGGACGGGTAATATGACTAGTGTATCGACCTACATCATCGTGTCCGAAGCGTAGACCAGTGATTAAGCAAAACTCCTCCCGCCCAAAACACGTATACACCGGTGGAAAATGAAACCATATCTCTTCATTACCACGTTTTATACTCTCGGGTAGATCGCTAGTCATGGTCTGAAGCCACAAATGGGTCAACATAGCATCTCCACCCGGATGTCGTACTTTCAGCCATGGCCCGAAGCAAGTATCCTCAAACAATGTTCTTTGTACAGGTGAAAGTTTCGACGCAATTGTAGTGACTAGGCTTATTTTATTCCTTAAGGTCAATTGAGCCGAAAAAAGTTCTACAAAAACAATAAACATATCAAGTTAGATTAAAAACTACACTGTGAAGATATACCAAAAACAATAAAGAGTAGTAGTAGTTTATTCTTCAAACTTAAATTTGCAACACTGTAAATTTCGTATTTGTCTTTGTTTTTTGGTTGAAGTAATGCAATTCATTCAAGTTTCAATTTGCAGAAGAATAATAGTTTCTGAAACTTAAAATCGCAACACGAAAATGATTATCGCAACGCGAATTTGACTATCGTAACGAGATAATCGCAACGCGAAATGAAAATCGCAACATGAAAATGACTATCGCAACGCGAATTTGACTATCGTTGCGATTTTCATTTCGCGTTGCGATCCTCGGTTTTAAATAGTCATTGTCTAAAATTGAAACTTGAATGAATTGCATTACTTCAACCAAAAGACAAAACAAAGACAAATACTAACTTTACAGGGTTAAAGACTAAACAGTTTAGAAGTATTGACAGCAATCGAATGAATTTAATAAGCAATTTAAGTGAAATGGTTAATCTATTATTGAAATTACCAGTAAACTTATCATCAATTTCAATATGAAAAACCTAATAATAATGCAAAAATTTCAAAATAAAAATAATTAAAAAAACTAACCCTCGATAGTTGATTTGATTGATTTTCCATTTCTGATCGTGAATGATTGTGAGGGTGGCTCTAAGATATGGAGATAGACTGATTTCGTCGGAGATGGGGACGGATTTCGTCGGAGATGGGGACGGATGTCGCCGTAGAGAGTGAGAATGGAGATGTGACTGAGTTGTGATTTAGAGTTTTATGTTAAGAGTTGCAATTACGGGATGTATTAATATTCGTGTTTGGAATTTGAAAATAAAATATGCGTTGAGATACTAATGGCTCTTTGAAAATCGCATTGAGATTTTGTATTATCGCGTTGCGATAGTCAGAATAGCATTGCGATTATGTATTATCACGTTGCGATGATCAGAATCGCGTTGCGATGGTCAGAATCGCGTTGCGATTATGTATTATCGCGTTGCGATAGTCAGAATTGCGTTGCGATTTACATATTCGCATTGCGATTGTCAAAATCGCGTTGCGAATTTGAAAACTAATTTGCGATACTGGAGATCGCGTTACGATTTAGAGATCGCGTTACGATTTAGAGATCGCGTTGCGATTTAAAGATCGCATTACGATTTTATTGGTCATTTTAGCAAATCGAAAAAAATTGGTCAAAATCATATATTATAAGGAATTTTCGGTCACTGAGGTTATTTTCTCAAAAATTTATATACCGAGTAAAAAAAATTCATATTTTCTATAACATGAATACAATTTTGTAATTTGTTTTTGAAAAGCTTAAGCCCCCACATTGTGTACCAGTTAGTCTTGGAAAGGAGATGTTATAAACTAGTAAAAGGATCAATAAAAGCATCTAATAAAAGACAATTTATCCATCAAAAGAAGCGTTAGAGTCACAAACGAGATAATCAACAAGAACGCTTGCCAACAAACACTAATCAAAACAAAAACGCTTTCGAATGCAAAATAAACATTTGAGTTATTAAAAATTACTAATTAAGGGCACAATAAAATAAAATAGGAAAAAAGGGAGGAGAAGTTGAGGCAATCCCTGGGTTCACAAGGGCTCTTCACTGTAATCAACCACATTTGATCTCCCTACAAGATAACGCTTTCCATGGGTTCATAAATTGTAAAGAAACGAAAGCAACAGCCATCACAGATCATGACATTTCTTGTGATCGACGGACGCAGCGGCCAACCTTTCTCTTGAATTCATCTTTCCTATCTCTCCATTCCTTCTGAAATAATCGACGACAAGTATTGATAAAAAAACACAGGAAAACATCACGGTGCATGACTTTGATTCCTTGGTTTTACAATCTCAACAACAGTATTCTAATGTCAAACAACTTCAGATTCATTAGTATTCGCATGATTCTACGGTAAAGCAATATGCTGATCACCATAGATGATATCACAGAGTAACAGAATGACATAGGATTTAAATAGGTAAAGAAAACTATGTTAAAGCACTAAAAATCCAAGTGCCATTTTAATCAATGATAAACCGAGCTTGATAAAATAAGCATTTTAAAGGGCGTTTCATAACACTAGAGTCCTTAGTAGGGTGGACACCCTGTTATGGCATCGAACATTCGGAAGTAACATCACATGCAACCACAGAAATTAATCAATCATACTGAAGGGAGAAATGCAACTAGGAAGCTGAATAAAAATCAACCAAACCAAAAAGCCAAACTAAAACAAGAAAGGAATAAATTAATAAAAAAATTCAACAATCACTTACAGCAGCTTCAACATTTGCAGGAGATTCGTCATTAGGGCTGGAAAGCATTGATATTATACTCAATACAATACTTTCAACCTGCCACATTGTAAGGATCTAAATTTGTTAATGCACTATCATAGTGTCAAGATAAAAGGAGGGAAAGGAAAACAGTAAGGAGCAGGGTGTCCATATATTAAAGTAATTTAAGTTTGAGCAATTTGAAATCAATACTATAGCACTATGAATGTTATTAGCAGTTGAACAGGAAAAATATAATAATAAAGTAAAAAAAACTAAAAAGAAAATTCATGTAAAACAGAAACTTCACAAACATACTGTATGGACCGGCATCCAGCGCTCACTTGCAAGCTCATAGCCATTTGGATCATCACCAGGAGGATGAAGAATAGAAATGCAAACACGCCCATCAGGATAAACTGCAAAGACACTAAAGATCGTATTAATTCTTGCATTAGACAAAGGCATAATATTATGAACAGACAAAGGTATACCATTAGGATGCCAAATCTCTGTTGTAAATTTCACTGTTGGAGGACTGTTTGGATAATTAGGCGGAAAGCTCATGATGGCATTGAAAAATCCTCCTTCACTGAAATTAGAATATTTATGTTCAAGAACATTAATGAATTAATATCATAAAGTTACAAGGTGTGCCATAAAGAACTCAATTCCATATCAAGATTACTTGAAGACAAAGTATTAAAAAGAAAATAAGCAGTGGGAAAGTAAGACACATTAGAAAGGAACTTATTCTAGCGGTAAACACATATCATTCTTGAGAAGCGTTTGCAATTAAACAAATTCCAAACGCAGAAGAACGAAAATTTTTGCCCCTCATAACCAACAACCTCCATAGAGAAGCTAAGAACCTACCATTTATCATTCTCCATTGAACCAGGTCTTAATGATGCATATACAGAAGCTTTCAGCAGCCCTTACCAATAGTCATTCCATATAAAAAGTGAAAATGAACAATTTGTTTCGTTGCTATTTCCGTGTGCAATCAATTCAAAAATCTAACTGAATGGCGATTGGCAACACAATCACTAGGTAAACTCAAAACCATATATTCCAAACCTTACAGCCACCTATAGCTCAAGCAAGATGATCAAATTTAGATCCCATAATTCCATTCGGATTCAATAGAAGACACTTAAATCAACTATGGCAATTAAAATCCAGCCAAGCAAATCTAATTTCAAAACCCTATCCCTATCAATAATTAATCTCCTTATCCAAAGTTACACACAAAATCCAAATCAAAGAATCCATAAGAAACAACTAATTTCAACAAAAGAAAAAGAAACTTTACCAGCAAAAAAAGAAAAAGGAAAAGAAACTCACTAAAGAGTATCAGGTGGTCCAATAATTGTAACACTCCATTCAAAGATATTGTTCTCATCAACCAATCCGGCAGAGAACCCATCAACCGGATTCTTACAAAGATCTAGCCAAAACACAAAAATCAGAACCCGTTTCAAAATTCACCCAAACCCTCAAAAAGCAAATAGTATTAAGAATCATTAAATTTAAAATCGATCAAAGAAAAGGAGTACCTTTGAGCTGTTTTTGAAGGAGGAGGCTGGCTTGAGATGCCATATAAACAATAGAGGGTTCTAGAGAGAGAGCTGAGAAAGCCCTGCGATTTGAAGAATAAGAAGAAGAAGAAGAAATTGGAGGAAATTAAAAGCCAACACTTCGTTGCTATTTATAGATGTGTTAAAAATCGATTTTCTTTGTGCTTCTCCTTTTGTGTCCAATAAATATTTAGAAAAAAATATCTAAATTTACTTTTATTGAGATTAAAATTTAGGGTAAATTTGTATTTAGTACCTAAACTATTAATTATAGTCCGTTTTAGTATCTAAACTTTCATTTTGTTTTAAATCATATCTAAAGTTTATTTTTTGTTTTATTTTAGTACCCGCCGTTGAAAACCTTAGTTTTTGTTTCATTTTAGTACCCATTCAAAATTTAATGTTGAGTTTTATAAAAATTGAAAGTTTAGGTACTAAAACGGACTAAAACGAATAGTTTAGGTACTAAACGAGTTAAGTTTTTAACGATAGAGTACAAAAATGGAATGAAAACTAAACGTTAGATATGTTTTTAAAAAACTGAAAGTTTAGTTACTAAAACGGATTAAAATTGACAGTTTAGGTACTAAATACGTAGTTTACCCAAAAAATTTAAGGAGTGATTTAGTTGTATGTTTTTTTTATAGAAGTCGCTAATTTTATTGAAAAATAAATATCTCGAATTACAATAGAGATTTATAGTCATAATTGTAAAAATTAAGCATATAATCAAGACATTTTTCTAAAATTATTAACATAAATTAGCAACTTAAGATCACATAAGGACCATACAATGAAAGATTATAAAAGCTAACCCAAACTCGAACATGATAGATACAAACAGATTTGATCGCAGTAGCAAACGAACCACAAAAGGAGATCAAACTATTAAAAGATCACTGACAAAACTGTAAATCAGAATCGAATGACGTGAAAAAAACTATCCACAAATACACATCAAGTATCCAAATCAAATCCAAGGGGTCCAATGTAGGGAAGATCAACATGATAATAGATAATCACCATCTTGATCAGTCGTGACGATGTCGAATCAACCCTTAAAAAGTACAAATGAAAAACAACAACCTAACGACAAAAAACATACCAAAATATAGAGAAAAAAGTGCCATAAAGACATATAAAAATGTGTCATAAAGCCAAACTTATTGAAATTTTAAAATAAGAGAAAAATAAAGATGTATTTTAAAAATAATAAAATGACAATATCGAAAATCAACGTCAAAGTTAGTGTGGTCGATAAACAAAGACATTTTGTTGTATATTATTTTCAAATGATTGGAGTTCAAATAATATTGTTTATAACATGTGTATGAGTTTATCTAGGTTAAAATAAAATAAATATTATTATGAGATTATATTAAAATATTTTAAAAATTACTATTATTAACAACAAAAATATTATTAAAAAATATATATTATATAATTGAAATAAAACATTATTCAAACATCAATTTTGTACAACTATTTTTTAAACTATTTTTTAAATAGAGTTATCATAGATAATTTTGAATTAAATATGTTCAATTACCTATAAAATTATAATTTATAAAAAATTTAAAACCTTTTTTTAGGAATAATTTTAAAGCTTTGCATTTTAACTTAAAAAAATATATTTCAAAATCGACTATATGTTAGAAAAATTAAAACACTAATAACACTTAAAATCACCACTTTTTTGTTATACATAAATTATCACATTTATTAATTTCTCATTTTATCTCGATAATTTTGTTATTTGTTGACTACACAAATAATTTTAAAAAGTCAAAAATTTCATAAAATATGTTATATAAAAAGATTGAAAGAATAAAATTACTATAAAAAGGTTGAGATATTTTAAATGAAATAATTTCACTAAGATGTCTCTACCAATGTAAGTGTCTAATGAATGTTTAATAGTATAATAAGGATAATTAGTGCATAGAACTCACTAATAAGTCATGTGACCCCTATGAGTAGAATTATTGGTCTTGCTTTGAGAGTTCAAGGTATGTGTTTAACGAAGAGAACGAACCACTTCATCTGAATCAACCTTTTATAGTACATGATGAATCTTATAGTCTCAATGTTTTCTCATAAGAGAAATTATTGATATATTTGGTCTATGGTCACTCATAATTGTGTGTAATTGTATACATGATAGACTATTCAGATAGTTGTGAATGTATGCTTAGTGAGACCAAACGACTATACTTACATCTATATGATGAATTAATAACTTGATGCTTGACCAGACAACCATACTTAAGTCTATATGACGAAATATTACTTTATGCTTAGAGAGATCAAGTGCCACCATTTTTGTTACTACTTGATAGCTTATGTGACACCAAGTACCATCATATCATATTACTTGATTGTTTAGTGATCTATGAGGTTATTACTGATTATTGAATATTATTGATTGTTGTCTGATGCTAGGTGAAAAGAGATAATTTAGCGTTGTTGACATTATATCATGATTAAGTCATAAGAATAAGGACTAGGGTATACATGAGATTATTATTATCAAATGATTTTTAATTAATTGATCATAAGCATGATATAATATTGGATGATAAAACATACATTTACTCATTATTCATTATTTATACTATTAGCACACCGTTGAGTTAATCGATTGACGGAATCGGCCAAGAGGGGGTGAATTGGCAATAAAAATTTTGGTGGAAGCTTTTGCAGAAAATTGAAAGAAATTGCATAGCGATTTAGAGTGGTTCGACTTTATCAACCAAAGTCTACGTCCACTACCTTAGCTATCCACACTAAGGATTTTCCAACAAATTCACTAATTTGTTCTTTCTTTTGAGGCCAAAGAGATAACCTTACAACACCCTCAAGAATATACCCCAATTCTTGAGAACACTCTTTTCTCAAAGAGAAATACAAATTTGCAAACTTACAAGAAAAACCTCACAAGGCAAATATGTTTGCACAATTCTAGAATAAAGAAAGAACACTCAAGAATAAATACAATTGAGCACAATAAGTGTTCTTGAAAGCAAAATGAATATTGAATGAAAAATAGGCTTGAAATGCTCAAACTTGAGGTTTGATGCTTTCTCTTCGATTCTCTCTTGATTCTAATTGCTTGATGTTTCTTGTTATTGATCAATGGCTTCTAAGCTTGCTTAAATACACCTTGAATCACTTCTGAACGTTGGGGATGATTAGAGAAGATAATATAGCCGTTTTAGTGTGAAAACAATTAATAAAATAGCTTGGAGCGTGGGGGGAATCGGTACCCCCTATGGGGAATCGGTTCCCTAAGTGTAAAATTCAAATATTTCGACCGTTATACAAGGGGGGAATCGGTACCCCCTGGGGGGGAATCGGTTCCCTCCGAGCATACTAGAATTCTCGGAGCCAAACCATTCAGGGGGAATCGGTACCCCCATTGGGGGGAATATGTTCCCTCTGAGCAATTTGGAATTTTTGGCTTTGAAATGGTTCGAAATACTTTGTAAAATTATTTTGAGATTGTTTTAAGATTAAAACTTAATTTTACACTTGAGTAAGGATTAAAAATGATCTTTGAAAGATTTGGAGTAATGCTTTGATATTCGAATAGTTATATCGAATATACTTAGAAAATCATTTGGAAAAATCTTAAAATTCATTTAACTTAATTTGTTATATCGAAATATCAAAATGTTTTCAACAATCTCCCCCTTTTTGATATAACAAAACATTTTAGTAATTTTAAGATTTTGAAATCAAGTTTTGATCAAATTTTGAAATTACTCTCCCTTACTTTAACACTTCTCCCATTTATCATTTAAAACACATTTAACTTCTCCCCCTTTTTGTTAAATCAAAAAGACATTTTAAAGAATTTAAACAAGGTTTTGAAATCATTTAGCCAATTGATTATATATAATATAAGCTGCTAAGATCACAAGCAAGAGAAACATTAGCCATTAGTTTCATAATCAATATTCATAATTAATGTGACATGGCAAAATTGGTCATATATCTAATATGAAGTAAATGATGCAATAATGAATAAATTTAATCACACCAAATAGATAAGTTCTCACCATTCATAAATCCAATCAAATTCAAAATCAATCAATCCACAAATTCAAACATTCCAAAATATTCAAAATGTTAAAACAATAAGTTTGGAGTTCAAAGCAAAACATAGAATCACATATCAGGATCAGAAGGAGGAAAACGAGCTCGCATAGCGGCCATTTTGTGAGTGAGGTCATTAATACGCGCGTTGGTTGCCACATTGTTTGCACGCATCTCCCGAAGAATTTCTAATTATTGAGCTCCCATTGTGGATAAGTCGGACTTTATAGAAGTAAAGCGCGAATCCATGGTAGCATATCGAAAATCGAATATCTCCATAAATGATTGAAAATATGGAGGCATTTGATACGTTTGTTGTGCTTGCTCCTCGGGCTGCTCAGGCTCATCTTTGGCTTCATCGATGTCTCGCATTAATTGCTCAAGCTCGAGATCTTCGTCAGCTTCGGGTGGAGCTTGTGAAGAACTAGCTCCCGGAGTATTTGCAGAAGATCGAACCCATTCACCGGTTTCCTTATCCTTAATCCATCCCGCTCTCGTTAAGGAAAGAAGGTTAATTTGTTTCTTAAGGGGAAAAATGACATCTAGACCGACTCTAAGCCCAGCTTTGGAAAACAGATTACTCAAAATGCAACCGTAAACAAGAGATGAACAGAGTTTCTTGTTAGGAACAAGATTTACGGTTTCAATAATTTCAGCAAAAATAATCTGAGGTAGGTTAATTTTAATATTGTTTTCGAAACAATGTAACCACCAAATATCTAAGGCTCTAAGAGTAGAATAACGACCTCCGGATGGTCGAAACCACCAAGAAATCATTAGATGAAGAAAACGTTCATGTAGGTCTAAGTCACTCGCACTATCTCTTCTTTTATAACGAGATCCTAAAACCTGTTTTTCATTTGAAATACAATCGTTATCTAATCCGAATGTATTGGCTATGTAAGCCGAGTCAATATATAAGAATTGTCCTAGGAGGTAGGAACGAATTCCTATGGTTTCGGTTTCAGTTTGGTTTTTAACACAAACGACATTAGAATAGAAAATACGAACAAGTTGATGGTAAACGATGGGTTCAAGGTCAAAGAG